GCTCCTACAGAAGTACCTGAGGTACCGCAGACGGAGACGAGCAGCGAGTCGTACGATTTGATTTCGGAGACCGCGGCCTACCCTCCCGAGGCCGTGGAGCGCGAGATCGATGCCACCAACATCAAGCCATCGCCCCACCCCAGCTCTGCTTCACCTCCTCGCGCACCTCGAATACTGTCAGTTGGGGTACACATGACCCTGAGACGTGTGGCTTTCCTACACAATGCTGGTGTGCTTACCTGGCTCGAGTCCCCTTGTTTTTTTGTGTTGCTACCTCAAGGCCTGTGCGCCGAGAATCAGGCGGCGCTGAGGTGCGCCGAGTCCGCGCCAACACACCGGCGGGTGCTGGCGCTTCCGCGGTGGTGAGACTTCCCCCCGCCCCAAACTCCCAACCCCACGCGCTGCTTATCCACTTACTTTATCCTGTTCGGCGGACGCAGCAAGGACGTGAACAAGCTCAAGAGAAGGGAGGCCGTCGTCACGCTCCTGTCTCTGCTCGAGGGCAAAGGCCCGAAGGTCCCGGCGCCAGATGCTCATGACCCTCCACAACTTCACTGTCCTGGTACTTTCTCGACTTTTACACCTTCTCTTCAACCTCCTACGCAGCTGCTCCGCGCGCTGTTTCAATTATTATTATAATTATTATTATTATTATCATTATTAAGTGAGACCCAACCAACACCACCTCCTCCAGGTGGAAATGAGCGCATGGCAGATCGCCTCGTGAACGGGGTCACTTGGAACAAGGGGAGAGCAAGACGCAAGGGGGGGATATATCTATCCCCCCCCCTACCACGCCCTGAGCGCGCGACTGCGGCACCCACCACCACCACCACCACCACCTTTGGCATCATCCACGGTGACAGCTCTACCCCCCCCCATCGCTGGTCCCGGCGGCACTGCGCCGGTCTGCGCACGGCCAGCTGCTCTTCAACCTCTCGACCGACTGCCTTTTTTTCGCGCAATCGCTGGTTCGCGCCAGTGTACGGCCTCCCCTCCCCCCCTCTTCAATTGCTTTCTCATCCGCGGTCCTGACCCACTCTTCTCTTCGTACACACACGTGCGCGTACTCACCTGCAGCGCTGACGGCCACGTCGTCATCATCGTCGTCGTTGTCGGTGAGCAACGCCACTGCGGTGCGGCCTGGTCAACGCCTACGGCAGCCACACGGGTGGTGGTGGTGATGGCGACCTCGAACGGCGGCGGCGGCGGCGGCGGCGGCTACGCCTACTCTTCCTGCTGGGCTGCGTCGTGAAGGTGCCCACCATGGGGCCAATGGCAGGCGCTGAGTGCCGGCTGGCTGAGCACGAGTTACTCTGGCTACGCACGCTGGACCCGCGGCGACTGGTACGGCTATATAGCCGAGGGCGCGCAGTTCATGGTCACTCGACAACTCAAGTGTGCACTCAGGCACCCGTCGCGCAGACCCATGCGGCCCGTGCTTGTACAACCAGTGCCACCACTTCGGCAGCGGCAGCCCCAAGCTCGTGGTGTTCGGCCGCCAGGCGGGCAAGTGGAGCAGCACCTACCGACCGGCACAAAATGTGGACGGCAACTCGGGGCAGCCTCGACACCCGCCCATCCACGCACCCACCGCGCCAACCAACTGGGTGGCTTCAGGGCGCAGGCCGTCACCACCATGCGCGCGGCGGCAACCTGTCCCAGGCCCACTGGCCGGTGTGTGCACCCTGACCAACGCCGCCGCCGCGACCCACTCGCTCGCTCATGGCCGGCACCTTCAGCACCAACGGCAACCGGGCGCAAGTTATGGGTGAGTATTTCTCAGTTTCTTTTTTCTTTTTTCTTTTTCTTTCTTTTTTGTTGTCCCCAAGCTTGGTGGCCAGTTCATGGCTCTGACTTACAACACACACACACGTCTATCCCCCCGACCAATTTTTCTTTTTGCCAGCCAACACACGCCGACGGGTGGGATCGCTCAACTTGGCCGACGATGGCTCGTCGATCTGACATCAGCAAGACCATCAGCATCGGCGCCAACCTTGACCGACCATGTGGATGCTTCCTTCGAAGCGGCAGATCTGATCGTACCACCGTCGGTGGTCTCTCACGAGCTGGGCATCACCTGTCCGCCCGCAGGCCTCCAACACCTACCAGACTCATCACCTACGCCTCGCCGACCGAAGTCTCCCGTGCACGGTCAAGAGCCAGATGCAGGGGTGCTCGTCGAACGTCGCGGCGACCAGCGTGACCTGGATCTGCCCGGCCATGAGCGGCAACTTGTTCGCGGAGGAGCCCGTGACCGATCGTCCCCCCCCCACAGCACCGACACGGCCATCGTCAGCGCTGACTGGCCCCGTCACCCTGACCGCCTCGGCCACCGTGCAAAGCGCTTGCCCTCTCCAGCTCCGGCTTGCTCGTCCTGGCCTACTGCGTCAAGGTGTGTTCCGCATGGACCCTGCCACCGGTGGTCCGTCGACGCCGGCGCGACCCTCTCCGGCGCTGCACCGGCGCTTCGTCGCCCGCCGTGACTGACTCAGCCAAGAATGCGTTGGTGGCGTGGAGCGGCGGCGTTGGGCTGTCCAGTATCGTCACCGTTCAGGCCAACTACAACAACCCGTCTCACCCTCAGCGGCTACTCGGGAGCCCAAGGCCCTCCAGGCCGCCACGCCCAACACCACGCGGGCAACGTTCAGTGGATGAGCTTGGCTCCATCACTTTGGCAGGCGGCCTCGTGCCGGCGGCGCCGACAGCTTCTACGACGACCGTGAGCGGCCGCCAACTCGTCGCTCTTGGCCGTCCTCAACAACGTGACGTAGGGCGCGACAGCGTCACCGTGCGGCGGCAGCCTGGTGCTCGCCACGGTGCCCGCGAGCCTCGTCGCCCTCCCGCCGCTCACCATCTCCAGCGGCCTCGTCGACCTCCAGGGTCCTCCACAGCAGATGATGAGCCTCTCCTACAGTGTCTCCCAGTCGGGCGGCTCGCTCGCGCGCGGGCTCCAGAGCAACCGGTCAACGTTGCCGGCCAGCACCAGTTCACCAGCGGCACCCTCGCCGGTCCTGGTCTGGTGACACCCTCCAGCCCACGGCCACCGCCCTCCCCGTGTCCGGCACCGACGCCAGACAGTCGACAACTGCCTGCCTGCCTGATGGTCCGTCAGTCAGGACAGCGGGAGCCTGCTCGGCGCTCACTGTTGTCGCCCAGTCAGTCAGTCGCAGTTCATCGCCGGACACGCCCGCGCGCGGACAAGGCGAGCACCGGCGTGCTCCCTCAAGACACTGTAGCTGGGTGGCCGGTAACATCCGCGGCTCGACCTCGGCCGTCATTCGCGCGTGCCGGCCAATGCCACACGTGGCGAATGTTCAGGCGACCGTCGCAGGCGGTGCCATGGCCACCGAGACCGTCGCCGCACCGCCGCCAGCTGCTCGTCTCTTCGGCCAGATGGCCAAGTCGGCCAGCTCTGTGCTCGTGACGCTCAGCGTCTCCAACAACGTGCTCTCGACTCGACTCGACTCGACGAGCAGGCCGCGATCAGCGCGACTCCAGCAGCGGCAGGCACCCTGGCCCTCGGCGGCAGCGGTTCCTCTACAGCGGTCTCCTCACCGTCCGTCGCCGGCTCGGTCGGCGTCGACGCTGCTCCTCGCTGCTCCTCCTCCTCCTACTCGTTCGGTCCGCCGCCAACTCGTCGTTCTTGGCCGGCCGAGAAGAGTGTCACCGTCTCGGGCGCCTACAACAACTGCAGCTCGTCGTCGACGCCACCTCCCAGGTCGCTTCGGGCGGGCAGTCGGTCCTGCTCGGCTTGGTCGTCGCCCTCCCGCCACTCACCATCTCTGGTGGCCTCGTCCGGTACTGGCGCTAAGATGGTCGACAACTGCCTGACTCAAACTTGGCCAGCTCCGGCGGCGGCATCAACACATCGAAGTGGGCCTTTTTTCGACTTCTCGCGCACGCGCGCGCGGGCTTCACCCTGGCCACGGGCGGCACACGTGGAACCTCAATGCCAGCCTTCCCGCCCATCGCCATCAGCGCCTCACGGGCTGCACCCCCGCCAGCCCGGCGGCCTGGCCACGCCCGGGCCGAGCGGCGGCAGCGGCGGCGGTGACGGCAGTGACAGCTGGCAGTGCGCGGGGAGTGCTGCCCAGGTCTTGGTCGACGCCCTACGTAGGGCGACCAGAGCTCCAGCAGCACGAACGTTACCAGCAGAGACGGTGGTGACGCGGAGGACGACAAGGAGCTGGAGGAGGAGAAGGATATGACAGCGCCGACGACGACAATGACGCCATCGGTGCTACGCCCAGCAAGCGCAAGCCTGCGGCACTCCCAGTCGAGGCGGCCCGTCACTCCCGTCATTCGCATCCCTTCTCTCATGTCCACCATGCCCGGCTCCCCGTACCTCCTCCCATCTCTCTCTTTCTCTCTTCGCACACATTTCATTTCATAGTTTGTTCCTGACGCGTCGTGTGTCGTGTGCAGCGGACCGTCGACGGTGTCGGCGCTGGATGCGAAGACAACGTCGCTCAGGATTGGGGTGCCGCGCGTGGAGCTGGTGCTGTATCCGATGGGCGGCGGGCTCCTCGTGTTCCACATCGACTGGATGCCCAACGCCCGCAACAAAAAGCTCTCCGTGATGTAAGGCTCGACACGTCGACCTCCGACATCATCATCGTCAGCAGCAGCAGCATCAGCAGCATGGTCTCGCTGCTGCTCACGGTCACAGACACCTACCGCATGTGGGCCGACGTGGATCCAGCTGGGCACCGTGACCACGGCTTACGGCCAGGCCCTCTTCAGCGGCATGTCGCCCTGTACCCCTCAACGTCACCATCGGCGCGCTCACGATCGACGACGCCGTCATGGTCAAGAAGAAGAAGAAGACCAACCTGACCCAGCGCTGGGTGTCGCCGGCGACGTGGCCTAGTTGCCCACCACTCGGGCGTCCTGCTCACCAACCAGTCGGCGACCCTCGCTCGCGCTCGAGTCGGCCGGGATCCTGATCGGCGTCAACGACACGGCAGGCTCGTCAACTACGACCAGATCTCAACATGGTGGGCGTCGCGTCCGCGACCGCGACCGTCAACGTGTTCGTAGTCCACCTCTACGCCGCTTCAACGGCAGCAGCACCATCTGCCGGCGCCACGCGGCTCGTCAACCGCGCCCTCGCAGCGGGCGAGGTTTCCACCACCACCACCACCCGACCACCGGCCTGGTGGCAACCGCAGGCGCAGGTCAATCTGCGACCTCGACGCCGATGGCGATCGACGGCGCACGCGCAGGTCAGCGTCACGCAGCCGCTCACCTATTGTGGACATCCGCAGCAGCAGCAGCGGCACCCTGGATGGTGGTCATCGTAGACGAGGGTGATTTCTGCGCGGTCACGTTGCGAGCTGGTGCGGGCGGCAGCTTCGCCCTGGACCCAGCATCATCCTACACCAACCAGTAGCTGTTCGCCAGCGCAGCTACGGCAGCACCAGCGTGGCACCGAGGCGACCGAAATGAGAAACGAAACGAAACGAAACGAAACGAAAAAATGAAACAAAATACGAAATAAACGAAAGGAAATAATACGAAACGAAACGAAACGAAACGAAAATGAAACGATAAAGCAAACGATAAAACGAAATAAACAATGAAATAACATTGTTTCCGTTTCGATTTTCATTTCGTTTGCATTTCGTTTCGCTAAATTTTCTTTTCGTTTTTTCCGTTTCGTTTCGTTTCGTTTCGCTGCATTTTTCATTTCGTTTTTATCGTTTTTTTCGTTTCGTTTCGTTTCGTTTTAAATTTCTATTTGCGTTTCGCCCCGCCGAATAGATAAAAGAATGCAAGCGAGAGGGTAGTGGAGACCACGTACGAGCTTCCTCCTCCTTCTTCCCGTCGTACCGCGCCGTGGATGGGGCTTTTTTTGTGGCTTTGCTGACGTACAGGCGATCTCCTCTCCGCCCCCTTCATCGTTGTTCCGGTTACGGGCGGACCGTACAGGGCAAGTGCATCTGACGCCACTTCAGCTGATGCGCTGCTTGCTTCGGAGGAAGCGTCTGTCTGCTGCCCCTCGCTCACCTCGCAGGCCAAACGGGACCTGGTACCCACGGCCGCCGGGAAAACGACACCTGGACGGGGCAGGGCAAGCTCGTGTGGCGCAGGCGGCGGCTACTACGTCGGCGAGTGGCATGACGGCCCCACCAGGAAGGCCCCAGCACCCTCCTCACCAGGTACACTTCTGCCGCCGCCCTTCCAGCAGACGAAGGTTCCCCGTCCCCGTCCCCCTCCCCGTCCCCATAGCACGCTTCACTGGTTCTTCTTCTTCTTCTTCCCTCATCTGACACACCACCGCCACCGCATCACCCACCAGGCTCACAGGTTTGGCCACCGCGAGTACAGGAATGGAGCCACATACATGGGCCGCTACAAAAAGGATCATCGCGTGGGCCGGGAGTGGAAGGTAACCGCACTCTCCCCTCTCCCTCGCGCCCATGATGGTGGCTCTTGGTGGCAGCAGCAGGTGGTGGTGTGGCGGGCGCTCAACGGCGCTGGCGTGATGTCGCTGCGCACAGGTGGGGCGGAGGAACAGGCGCCTCATCTGCCCAGATGGCCAGGAGTTCAAGAGCAGGTCTGGATGGGTACACACGCACGCACGCACGCACATGCTCACCTCGCCGCGCTGCACTGCTGCCTCCCCCCACCGCCGCCCCAAAGTTTCCCTTGGCTGAGGCTTCTTCCAGCAGAGGAAAAGATGCAAGTCGGCGACACTCAGGCTTGAGTTGGCCGGGACCCTGATTGGCGTCAACGACACGGCAGGCTCGTCAACTACAGCCAGATCTCAACACAGTGGGCGCCGCGTCCGCGACTGCGACCGTCAACGTGTTCGTAGTCCACCTCTACACCGCCATTGGGCGTGCTTGCACTCGGCGGCGGCGGTGGCGGCACGCTGCACTACAACGCTGGGCTCCAGGTGCCACCGGTGCACTGGCCTGCTCCGCGTCGCCGCCAACACCACCAACACCACCACGGTGCAGCTCGCTGATGGATCGGCCCTCTCGGGCGGCAAAAACCTCTGGAGGTCACCGGCGGCGCGCTGGCCACCTTCACCACCGCGCGCGCAGACCTGCAGCTTGGTCCACCTTTGCGGATCCGCTCAGCAACGCTGGCGCGCAGCGTCAGGTCGTGCTGGGTAGCGCCACCTTCACTGGTGGTGCAAGTTCACTGTCGCCAACCAAGGGTTCGACGGACGGAGTCGCCGCGCTCAACATCACGTTGACCTTTGCTGGCGGCTACGCCAACAACGCCAACGCGAGCGAGGTGGCAGCCGCGCGCTCTTCACTGTGGGCGGGCACCCCACACGGGCCTCATCCACACACGGCCAATGCCGCCGCCATGTCGCCATGAGAGTTCACCGCCGGCTCGCAGCGCTTCAAGGTCGATTCAAGAACATGGGTGGAGGCTGCATGCAGCAGCAGGACCGCGATCATGTCCAGAGCAGCAGCGGCAACACATCGAACACCGTGGCGGTACCGGGAACGTGATCAAGGACAGCAAGATGCACCGCAGCATGGGCACCCCCCGACTTCGAAGTGTCGGGCGCGCGCAACTTCTGCTGCTGCTGCTGCTCCCACTCTCGATCTTCCTGGCCATCACCCTCGAGTCGATGACGGCACCTCGCTCACCCTCGATGGCGATGTCATCGTGGCCGGCAGCTTCTACTGGTACAGCGGCGGCGGCGGCGGCTACGTCAGGGGGCGGCGGCAACCTCATCCTCCAGGCATGGGGGGGGGGCAAGAAGATCATCCTCTCGCCGGCCCAGCACTACGCATGGACGGCACGGTGGTGGTGGTGGCTGCTGGTGGCTGGTGATCCCATCGCTCTCGTCATGGGTAAACCCCTCCTCCCGACGCCACGCTCGAGCCACGACCTCTCGGGTACCCTGAGCGCGCCGGTGGCCACCGCGCGCGGGAATCACCGTGGGCCTGCCCTCGCTGCGTCTCCTGGGCAGCAGCGTGTCAATTTCAGCGCCCTTCTCGCGCGCGCCTCGAGGTCGCTACCGTGTGCGCGCTCGTGGCCGGCAACGTGACCATCGATTGGGGGAGGGAGGCACCATGGCCTGTGCCGTGTTCGAAACAATCGGCCGGCATCGCCGCTTCAGGCGTAAATGACACGAAAAACGAAAAGGTTTCGTTTTCATCTCATTTCGCATTTCGTTTCTGATTCATTTGGTTTGGTTTTCAGGTCGTTTCGTTTCGTTTAGCATTTCGTTTCAGCTTCATTTTGGTTTTCATATCGTTTCGTTTCGCACACAGATTTGGTTTTCATATCGTTTCGTTTTACATTTGGTATTTTATTTCGAACGTACGCGCAATCTCTTAGCTCTGGGCATTCGATTCTCTTGCGGCCGGCAGGATGGCCTCGGCCTCGCTGATGTCGACCTTTGGACGGCCCTTGTTGAGTCCTTCGAGGAGCACGCACGCCTTGCAGAGCTTCTGGCTGGAGATGTACCCGCAGCGCGCGCACTTGCCCACGGTGGGCATCTTGTCCTTGGTCTCCGTGCTGAGGTGCATGTTCTCGCCCGAGTGGATGATATCTGAATGAATGCCCGCGGACAACACACGCAACAGTGAGTGGCCACTCGCACGAGTGACACGCACACGCACACGCACACGAAGACGAGGTGCCTCGCACCGAGAATGGCGCTGGGTCGAATCCGCTCGAGGTCCTTGAGGAACTCGCGCGCGAAGCCCCGGTACGCGTTGGGCGAGTAGATGCACTCGGTGGAGAAGTAGTCCAGCTTCTTGAAGTAGGCGTACCTACGTAGGTAAGGACCACCACCACGACGACCCTCTCCCAGGCGTTAGGAGGCGAAACAACGGCGCCGCGCCTTGAGTGTCGGCGAATCGAATGACATTAAGGTGGTGGTGGTGGTGGTGCTGGTGGTGGTGGGTCGATCGTACATGACGATCTCCTTCTCGTAGGTGTACTTGAAAGGCTTACACCGGGGCAGCGTGCCCTTGCTGCCCGTCATGATGTCCACGCATCGCCGCAGCCGGGACGAGTCACCCCGGAGAACTGGAGAGAGAGAGAGAGAGGAGAGAGAGTGCGCAGCAGCGGCGGCGGCAGAAAAAAGAAAAAGCAATTCTCGTCAAAACGAGAGACATCGGGTTCACTGAGCAGGCCGCGCGTACGGTTCATGAGCACGGTTTCGGCAATGTCGTCAGCGTTGTGGCCCGTCACGATTTTGTCGGCCTTCATGATCACCGCGCCGCGATCCAGAGCCTGCCTGCGGAAGACTCCACAGAAGGTGGCCTTCAACAGCAGTAGTGTGGGAATCGCGGCGGCAGCGTCAGCCACGGTCGATACGGTCACCAGGCGCGTCAATTGATTGATTGTCGTAATCGATCACGGGTGCGCAGCCCGGCGGGGCACACACACATACACAACACACACAACACACACAACACACACAACACACACACACGTACAGTTGTTACGGAGGCCGATCACGCGCACGATATCGTCCATCGACCACCCATAGAGATCCCGATAGGAGAGGATCTGCACACGAGCGCGCCGCACACGGGGATGATGCTGGTGTCAGCTCCACCATAGCTGTGGCCACTTGCGCCTACGCCCACAAACAATTGCAATTCTAGTTTCCTGCCGCAAACCTATGGCTCGGGACGACGACGACGAGGAGGAGGAGGGAGGAGGAGGGAGGAGGAGGATCACCTTGAGTGGCAGCTGGTACTGCTCCTTGTTCCTCTTCACCGTCTGGCGGTGGAGGTCGGTGGAGGTGGCGGGTGGTGGCGGGTGAGGAAAGGGAGGCAACGACGTCGAGAGCGAGAGCGAGAGAGAGAGAGAGAGAGCGAGAGCGAGAGAGGAGCAAGGGCGGTGGTGGTGGTGGTGAGGAGGGGAGGCGAGTCTCACCTCGAGCGAGTCGTCTCGGTAGCCGGTGATGCCCTCGTCGATGGACAGCAGGAAGAGGTCGAGCCCGTAGTCGTGCCTCGCGTTGAGGGTCGTCAGCACGTGGGCCAGCACGGTGGAGTCTGCGTCGCGTCGCGTATGAGCTTCCGCCGCGCATGAGGCGCGGACTTGGCGTAGAAAAGAAAAGAAGTAGTTGTTTGGGGAGGGAAGGGGGGGGCACCTTTTCCCCCGCTGGCGGCGATGGCGACCCGCTCGCCCCGATGGAAGAGCTTGTTCTCAATTACCGTCTGATGGACCTCGTCTTCGAAAACACGGAAAAAGCAGTCCTTGCAGATCATCTCGGCCGTCTTGGGCCGCTTGATGATAGCCCGGTTGTCCGTGCAGAGGCAACAGTACCGCACCATCTTGCTTCTTTGCGATTTGTTTTTGTTTTTTAGTCTTTTCTTTCAATTCAGAACGTTTTACGTTGCTCCGATCCTTGCCTAGCCCAAATTCTTCTATCCAGCATTACGTGCCTTGCGTTTCCGAGCCTCAAATTCTTCTACGGTTTACGTGCCATGCGTTCCCGAGTCTCAAATTCTTTTGTTGTATCACATGCCTTGCGTTCCCGAGCCTCAAATTCTTCTACGGTTTACGTGCCATGCGTTCCCGGGCCTCAAATTCCTTTTTTACACATCCCCGTTCAGTGTTCTTCAATGAAATATTTAATTATTTGTTGTTTACCGCCGACGCTGTCGAGCATCGGACGAGGGTGAAGAGAGGGGTCGGCTGGGTTTGATGAGTTTCTGCCAACTGCGCCACTCGATTCGAAGCAGGGGCTGCAGCAGCAGATTGCCCCACTCCTCCGCACGCATTTGGTACCCCTTTTGCATCATCACCACACCCATGTTCAGGTGAGCCACACCACACCACACCACAGCAAGGGAGTGCGCACCTGCGAGTTGAAGTGGAGGAAATCGCTGGCGTACATGTCTCGACCATGTCGCCCCTGCCAGCCGGGTCCCGGGTAGATTGCGCCCATCGGCTCCCTGCGGTGTGACAGCCCATCATAAATAAGCCTGTGAATAATCAATTCATGGTGGGGGGGGGAGAAGGAAGAAGAGAGGTTTACTGGCTGGAGTCGAGCTGCTGCTGCTGCTGCTGCTGCTGGGCCTGCAGAAACTCCCACAGGAGCACGTTGCGCTCCAGATTGCGCCGCTTGTGGCCTCGCTCGACCTCTCGCCTGCCAATGGTCGCACCACGTGCTACCAACGTTAGCGCCCCTAGAGTCCCTGAAGGAGGAGAGGGGACGCCGGGCCAACGGTCAACAAAACGTACCCGGCGGGGATGGGGCTTACGAAGACCAACTTGCGCAGATCCTTGAGGGCGCTGCAGATGGCGATGAAGTTGTCGACCGTGTGCGACGCGCTCTTGGGGTCCTCGCCATACCTAACGACCAACTCATCGATAAATAGACGCGCACGACCAACGACACGACCAACACATCGATGCGCGTACAGGTTGTCCATGGAGCCGAGCCCAAGGAGCACCACCTCGGCATCGTTGACGTTGGGGTCGTCCATGACGTCGCACCACAGCGTGCGCTTCACCCACTGAGCCGGGCCGACCGATGGCTGCCCAGCACATCATCCCACCACATCACCCGCCCGTCGTCATTGTAGGATCGCCCATGTCTCAGGCCACAACGCCACGCGCGCGCGCGGTGACTACTCGCCTTGTGGGCCGCGTCGGGCAACCAGTCGTCAGTCGTCGCGCCGTAGTGCCCTCGATTGATCACCACCCAATGCTGCCGGATCTGGTGGTGGGTGGTGGTGGGTGGTGTGCGGTGAGCGGCGTGTGGCGTGTAGACCACCCGCAGAGCTAGCTATGCCGGTGGTACCTTGTCGGTTTCGTCCAGGAGGTCCTGCAGGCGCGCGGGAAAGCCGGCCGTGAGCCGCCCCAGCCGCCATACGTCGCCCCAGCCCTCGACCGTTCCATCCCCTGTCCTCCAGATCGTAACGTTGTTTTTTGATTTAATTAGATGTGGCATCTGTGAATCGCTTGAAGATGGGAACGCGATGGAGTGATATAACGATCGAAGAAAAAGAGGCACCAAAATGGTGGCACATGTGTGTACCGAGGCAGAGGATCTTGTGGAAGGAATCGGAAGCAGACGGGATGGAACGGGGTCGACCGAGGCCCAGGTAGCGCACTACCACGAGCAGCCACCATCCCTGCAGCTTCTCCCAGAGCCTCCACCACCAGCCCCACCTTGACCGGCTCTTCTCCTTTGCGGCCTTCATCTTGAGCGCAGAAAATAGAAATACAAAAAGAGCAGTCCAAATTCCAAACGAAAAAAAGGAAAAGGAAAATGAAAAATGAAAGAGAACCGCCAAGAAAGGACGAGAAACCAAAGGGGAGCTGGTGGTTGGGGGAAAAAAACAACAAGGAGGAAGAACGAAGGAGGAAGAAGAGAGAGAGAGAGAGAGGCAGCGATCACGATGAGGAGGAGGAGGAAGCGGCAGCGGAGGCGAGGACGGCCGAGAGGGCGGGCACGAAGTTGACCATGGCAGCCTCTTCGTTGAGGAAGAGGTGGCTGCCCTCGGCGATGGAGAGGAACTCGAAGGCGGCCGTGGTGTAGTGCTCCCAGGAGAGGAGGTGGGTCTTGTCCTTGAAGATCAGGTCCTTCTCGCCGTCCACCGCCAGCAGCTTGCTCTGCATCTGCTTCCTCTGGCCCTCGCCGTACAGGCCCGACGCCTTTCGCCACGGCAGGTACCGCTTGCCGAGCAGGATCGACGAACGGATCACCTCTGTAATCAGCGACCGCACACGACACACGACACACGCGTGTCAGGCCAAACGCGCTGATGGGAGGAACGCGCAACACGCACGCGTGTGCGGTCACAGGTGGAGAGGGAGAGGCTGACGTACCGGGGTCGAGGGTGGTGTTGACGATGAGGCCCTGCTGCATGGCCACGCGCATGAAGTCCTCCACGGGGGCCGCGGCCAGCACGGCGTCGGACCAACCCTCCCACTCCGTGGCGAAGAAGCTGGGCTCGTCGGGCGAGGCGATCGCCGCCACCACGAGCTGCGACGACGCGCGGAAGTGGGACGCCGCCTCGTACGCGATCAGGCCGCCCATCGAATGACCGTAGAACACCAGCGGAGCTGCATAGCACACATATACACACACAACGCGACAAGACAATGAGTCACCAACACGTCCGTTGTGTGTCATGTGTGTGTCGTGTGTCGTGTGTCGTGTGTCGTGTGTGTGCGTCGTCTTTAAGTACCGGGGGCAGCCTGGTCGAGGAGGGCGAGCTGGTCGAGGATGAGCGGGAGGAGGTCCTCCCAGGCGGACGAGCGCTGGGGCACGTAGGCGTAGAGCTCCACGTCGGCCGGCACGAACGCGGTCCAGCTGCGGAACACGGAGGGCTCGCCGCCCAGGTACGGGAAGCACACCAGGCGCGCCTTGGGCTTCTCCACCTTCCGGTAGCACTCGAACACCGCCACGGGACCCGACGCCGCCGCCGACGACGCCGATGCCGAGACAGCGGTCGCGTCGGACGATGACGACGACGACGAGGAGGGGGCGAGAGAGGAGAGGGAGAGGATCTTGACGACGAGCTCGTCGATGCTCTTGCCGCCGGTGAGGTCGAGCACGGAGAGGGAGATCTTCATCTCCTTGTCGATCCAGTTCTTGAGCTCGACGGCCATGAGCGAGTCGACGCCCAGGTCGGTGAGCTTGTTGCTCATCTCGATGTCCTCGGCCGAGATGCCGAGCATGGAGCTCAGCTTGGCCCGCAGGCTCTGGCGCAGGATCTCGATGCGCTCCTCGGCGGGCGCGGCCGAAAGCTGCTGGAAGACTGACACCGAGCTGCCGCCGCCGGCACCGCCTTCGGTGGCCTCGCCTCGGTCGTCGACCAGGAGCGCGCGGAAGCGGGCCGAGGTGAGGGACGGGAGCGTGTTGGCGGCCACCCGCCACACGATGGGCGAAGCGACGACCTGCGCGGGCAGGTCGGTAATGGCCCACTGCAGGACGTGGAGGGCGTGGTCGATGGGAAGCGGGTAGATGCCGCGCTTCTTCATCGACTCCTCGAGGTCCTTGCGCTCGGCCACGTAGCCCACGTCGCCGATGGCGCCCCAGTTGATGGACACGAGCGGGAGCGACGGGGAGCGGGCGCGCGCCTGGTGGGCCAGGGCGTCGAGGTAGGCGTTGGCGGCGGCGTAGTTGGACTGGGCCAGGTTACCCACCACGGCCGACACCGACGAGAAGAGCACGAAGAAGCGCAGCGGCTCGGCGCCCAGCAGCTCCACCAGGTTGTGTGTGCCGCGCACCTTGGGCGCCACCACGCGACGGAACCGGTCCGGCGTCATGTCGTCCAGCAGGCAATCGTCTGCCATCACCACCACAACAACAACGAGATAGAGAGAGAGAGATAATGAGCTACAATGCAGGAGGACTAGATAATAAAAGATACATAAATAAAAACAAAAGCTCCTCAGAGACACGCAAAACACAGTTGTCGACATGGCGATGTTCAGGCTTAGCATAGGATGTTGTTCAATCATCATCGGAGGCGGAGGTGGTGGCCACACATAATAAATTATAAATAAATAACAAATTGGTGGAGTGGTGGAGTGGTGGTGCGTACCGAGGACCATGGCGGCCTGCATGACGCCGCCAAAGCCGGGGGCGGCGGGGAAGTGGGCGCGGATGCGGCCGAGGGCGGCCTGGAGCTGGTCGCGGTCGACGACGTCGGCCTTCTCGACCAGGACGTGGGCGCCGAGCGCGGTGAGCTCCTCGACGGCCTGGGCGGCGGCCGGGGCGGCGGCGCCGGAGCGGGAGAGGAAGGCGAGGTTGGTGGCGCCGTGCTGGGCCATCCAGCGGGCCACGGCCGAGCCGAAGCCGCCGAGGCCGCCGACGAGGAGGTAGACGGGGGCCGGGTCAAAGGCAAAGGCGGGGAGGAGGGTGCGGACGGGCTCGTCGGGGCGGAGGGAGAGGATGACCTTGCCGATGTGCTTGCCCTGCTGCATGTAGCGGAAGGCCTCCTCGACGCGGCCGAACGAGTAGACCTTGCGCGGGAGCGGTCGGAGCTTGCGCTCGTGGAAGAGGGCCATGAGCTCGCGGAAGATGCGGCCCGACGTGTGCGGGTGGGAGCCGTTGAGGCGGTCGAGGTCGATGGCGAAGAAGGAGAGGTTCTGGCCGAAGGGGAGCAGGTCGAGCTTGGAGTTGCCGTAGATGTCGCGCTTGCCGATCTCCAGGAAGCGGCCGAACGGGGCCAGCACGCCCACGCTCTTCTTCAGGGCCTCGCCCGAGAGCGAGTTGAGCACGAGGTCGACGCCGCGGCCGTCGGTCTTCTTGGCGAGCTCCTGCACAAAGTCGAGGCTGCGCGAGTTCATGATGCGGTCGGGCCGCACGCCCAGCTCGCGCTCGATGAACTCCCGCTTCTCGCGGCTGCCCACCGTCGCGTAGACCTCGGCGCCGAACAGGTGCGCCAGCTGAATGGCCGCCTGGCCCACGCCGCCGGCCGCGGCGTGGATCAGCACCGACTCGCCCGGCTGGATGTGGCCCAGGTGCTTGAGCGCGTAGAGGGCCGTGAGGAAGGTGGCCGGGATCGTGGCGGCCTCCTCGAAGCTCATCCACTCGGGGATGGGCTGCACCAGCGGCGCCAGGGTGGTGACGTAGGTCGAGAAGCAGTAGCGCGCCACGCACACCACGCGCTGCCCGACGGCCAGGTCGGCGACGCCCTCGCCCACGGCCGCGACGACGCCGGAGCACTCGATGCCCAGGTTGCGCCCGCAGAAGCCGCCCTCGACGGCCTCGTCGGAGAGCATGCCCATGGCCAGCATCACGTCCTTGAAGTTGAGGCCCGTGGCCTGCACCTGCACCTCGACCTCGCCCGGGCCGGGCGCGCGCCGCTGCGACTCGCGCCACTGCAGCGTGTTGAGCAGGCCCGCCGTGCCCACCTCGAGCCGCAGGCCCGCGCAGTCGCCGTAGCGCTTCTCCTCGGTGCGCTGCAGATCGGCCGACACCTTCTTGGCCGCCACGCGCGGCACGTACACCACCGGCCGCTCGGAGGCGGCGGCGCCTTGACGCACGACGAGCTCCTCCTCGTCGCGCACGTGCGGCGACGCGAGCGCCTCGAAGACGCTGGCCGCCACCTGCGCGGGCGTGAAGTGCGGGTCGACGTCGACGACGCAGCTCTTGATGCCCGGGCGCTCGTTCTTCATCACGCGCGAGAAGCCGACAAGGGGCGCGTTGTGGGGCAGCGGGCAGTCCATGTTGCCGCCGCGCGTTACCCAGTAGACCTCGCCGCAGTGGCCGCTCACCGCCGCCTTCATGCGCTCGAACTCGCCGTCGGACACGCCCTCGAACACGGACGCGCTCGACAGCGAGGGCAGGTACACCAGCGTACCGTGCGCCGCCGCCTCGCCGGCCGCGGCCACGCGCACCAGCTCGCGCGGCGCCGCAGCGCACAGGCTCGCGAGCTCGGCGACGACGGCCTCCTGCTCCTCGCCGGCGTCGGCGAGCACGTAGACGACGGGGGTGGTGGCGGGCTCGGCGGGGGCGGAGAGGGGCGCGGTGACGAGGAAGGTGGCGTGGATGGGGCGCGGGCGGCGGTCGTGCAGCGGGTGGATGGCGGCCCAGCCGCTGTCGACAAAGGCCTGGCGCCAGGCCTGCTCGGAGAGGGTGGGGCCGACGCTGCGGCGCTCGGGGTCCTGGAAGCGCCACCAGCCGGAGAGGGTGCCGAACACGGTCTGGATCCACATGGGCGTGTTGACGAACTCGTTCATGAGCAGCTGGCCGCCGGGGGCCAGCAGCCGGCGCACGCTGGTGAGGGTCTGGACGATGTCGACGGTGGCGTGCAGCACGTCGGTGGCGACGATGAGGTCGTAGGACTCGGGCGTGAAGCCCTGGGCGTCGAGGTCCTTCTCGATGTCGAGCACCTGGAACTTCATGCGGCCGCCCCACGGGGCGAACTTGGCCTTGGCCTTCTCGAAGAAGGAGGGCGAGATGTCGGTGAAGGTGTACGACACGAAGCGCTTGCCCAGCACCGGCAGCGCGTGCGTCGTGGTGCCGCCCGTGCCGGCGCCGATCTCGAGCACGCGCAGCTGGCCGTGCTTGTGGGCCAGCAGGTCGAGCGCCTGCCCGAGGATCTGGTTGGCCTGGTAGAAGGTGGGACCCTTCTCGTACACGCGGTACACCGTGTCGTCCTTGAACAGCAGCGAGAGCGGGTCCGTGGTGCCCAGCAGGATCTCCTCCAGGTGGTACCCGATGCGGTGCACCACGAGGCTCTCGTCCTTGAGCGCCTGCTCCTCCTCGGCGTTGAAGAAGGCCTCCACGGGCACGTTCTCGGCGGCGGCCTGCTCGGCCGTGGCGCGCACGGTGGCCTCGAGCCAGTCGTAGAGCGGGCGGTAGAGGGGCACGATGCGCTCGCGCTTCTCGGGGCTCGCCTCGAACGAGGCAGCGACGCGGCGCAGGTAGGCGAGCGCCACGCGCTCGGGCTCGTCGTCCCACGCGGCGTCGGTCGGTGGCACGGCCTGCGCGACGAGGCCGTCGGCGCCGTGGACGAGCAGGGCCAGGTCGGGCCTCCACACGAACTCGTAGAGGCTCTCGTTCCACTCCCACGAGCCCTGCTCGTCGCCGCCCTTGGCGCCGCCCTTCTTGCCGATGGAGGCGCACAGGAGGCCCTCGACGCTCACCTTGTCCTCGCCGTCGGCCAGGCCCAGCAGGCGGATGTCGCCCACGAAGCTGCCCTGGGCGGGCTTCTTGGCCGTGGCGTGCACAAAGTACTTGGCCGCGCGGCACGGCGAGTGCACCTCGATCTTGCCGATCCGCACCGGCAGGTAGCTCTCCGAGAGCGAGCCGCCCACGGCCCCGATCAGCACCTGGAAGCACGCGTCCAGCACCGTCGGGTGGATCGCGTAGGAACTTCCCGCCGGCGGCAGCGCGCACGCCACGGAGCTCACCACCGCCCACGCCTCACCGTCGCCGCGGTGCAGCTCCTCGATGCCTGCACATGTACACATGTCGTATCGTGAGTGTCGTGTCGTTGGTGAACAACAACCACCACACACACTTCTAGAGAGAGAGAGAGAGGAGGGATGGATGGATGGATGGATGGGTATAAAAAAGAGTGTGTGTACGCACCCTGGAAGTCGGGGCCGTATTCGAGGCCGGCGTCGTTGAAGACCTTGTAGCACTCGTCCTTGGAGACAAAGTGCGGGCAGCGCTCCTTGACGGCCTGCATGAGGGCCTTGTTGGCCTCGATCTGATCGGCGGCGGCCGGGGCGGCGGGGGCGAGCCTGCGGTGCTTGCCGCTGCAGTGCTCCTGCCAGCCGCTGCCGTCGGCCGAGAAGACGGTAAAGTCGCGGCGGCCCTCCTCCTCCTTGTCGGCCAGCGTGAGCTGGGTCTTGATCGCGGTCTGGTCGGTCTCGAAGATGAGGGCCTTCTTGAACACGATCTCCTCGATCGCAACGGGCGTGTTGACGGCGTCGCCGCCGGCGCTCTTGGTCTCGTCGGTGGGGATGGCGGCGGCCATGGCGATGTAGCCGGCGCCGGGGAAGACGATGGAGCCCTGGACGACGTGGTCCTTGAGGTAGGGCAGGTGGGGCACCTTGAGCTCGTTCTGCCAGAGGGCGGCGCCGTGGGCCTGGTGGAGGCGGTGGCCCAGGAGCTCGTGGCCCAGCTCGCGGAAGCGGGACTGGCGCGAGATGTCGGACTCGTGCCAGTAGGACTTGCGTTGCCACGGGAACGAGGGCAGGCCGCGCACGAGGCGGGGCTCGCGGTAGCCGACGAGCAGCTTGTCGCGGAACACGCGGTCCCAGGCGACGTCGACGCCGGCGTCGTGGAGGGCGCAGAGGGAGAGGACCATGCGGCGCTGCTCGTCCTCCTTGCGGATGATGGAGGGCAGCACGGCGGGCGGCTGGGCGGAGAGGGCCAGCAGGCACTGGCGCAGCGGACCCTGGAGGGCCGGGTGCGGGCCGATCTCGACGACGACGTCGATGCGCGTGGTGCGGAAGGCGGCCTCGATGGCGGGCCAGAAGCGGACCATGGAGACCAGGTTGCGCACCCAGTAGTCGGCGCCGAGGTCGGAGGCCTTGCAGGGCGCGCCGAGCACGGTGGAGATCATGGGCACGCGGGTCTGCTCGCCGCCCTGGGTCTCGAGACCCGTGAGGAGCTCGGTGAGGCGGGCGCCGACGGGGAGCATGTGGTGCGAGTGGTAGGCGCAGTCGATGCGGAGGAACTGGCAGAAGACGCCGCGCTCCTTGAGCACCTCGCCGATGGCCTCCATCTCGGCGGCGTCGCCGGAGATGGTGCAGTTGGTGGGCGAGTTGACGGCGGCGATGCCGACCTTGCCGCGGTAGGGGGCCAGGAACTCGGCGGCCTCCTGCTCGGTCATGCCCACGGCGGCCATCTTGCCGCGGCCGCTCTCGTTGACCTTCATGGCCTCGCCGCGGTACACGGCCGTGCGGATGGTGGCCTCGAGCGACAGCGCGCCGGCGGCGTACGCGGTGGCGATCTCACCGCTCGAGTGTCCCACCACGATCGAGGGCTCCACGCCCCAGTGGCGCCACAGGCGCACCAGCGAGACCTGGAGCGAGGTGGTGCACGGCTGCGCGATGTCCGGCCGGTTGACGATGGTCGTGGCCTCATCCTGCGCGAGCACCTCGAGCACGGACCAGCCCACCAGGCGCCGCACGATGCGGTCGCACTCGCGCATGCAGTCGCGGAACACCGGCTCGTCGCGCAGCAGCTGGCGGCCCATGGCGTACCACTGCGCGCCCTGGCCCGTGAACACGAACAGCACCTGCTTGGCCTTGTCGGCCTCGGGCATCTTCGCGATCTTGGCCTTGGGCAGCTCCGCCGCCAGCTCCGCCGCCGACGACACCACCGTCGACAGGCGGTAGCCGTGGTGCGTGCGCCGGCAGGCCAGCGTGTAGGCCAGGTCCATCAGGTGCTCGGCGTCGTCGGCGAGGCCGAGGCCGTCGGCGGTGTCGGCGAGGCGGGCGGCGTAGGCCTGCTGGAGGTCGGCGAGAGCCTGCTTGGTGTGGGCCGAGAGGACGACGGGGAAGGCCTGCGGGGTGCGCTCGTTGCGGCGGTGGTGGGCGGGGAGGGCGAGGGCGGGCACGAGGGGCGCCTGCTCGATGACGGCGTGGGCGTTGCTGCCGCCGAAGCCGAACGAGTTGACGCCGGCGCGGCGGACGGAGCAGGCGGGCCACGGGGTCTTGGTGCCGGTGACCTTGAGGCGCATGCCGTCAAAGTCGATGTCCGGGTTGGGGGTCTGGAAGTGGAGGTTGGCCGGGATGACGCCGTGCTCCATGGCCAGGACGGCCTTGATGACGCCGGCGAGGCCCGAGGCGCCCTCGAGGTGGCCGATGTTGGACTTGACGGAGCCGATTAGGAGCGGGTTGTCGCCGGGGCGCACCTCGCCCAGCACGGAGCCGATGGCGCCGGCCTCGACGGGATCGCCGGCGCGGGTGCCGGTGCCGTGGGCCTCGATGAACTGGACGTCGAACGGGGTGAGCCGGGCGCGCGAGTAGACCTCGCGGAGCAGCGCGGCCTGCGCGTCGCGGCCGGGGAAGGTGAGGCCGGCGGTGCGGCCGTCCTGGTTGGTGCCGGTGGCGCGCACGAGGGCGCGCACGGAGTCGCGTTCGCGGGCGGCGGTGGCGAGCGGTTCGATGACGAGCACGCAGATGCCCTCGCTGCGCACGTAGCCGTCGCCCGAGGCGTCAAAGGCCTTGCAGCGGCCGTTGGGCGAGAGCATGTGGAGCTTGGCAAAGGCGATGAACATCTCCGGGAGCAGGTTGGTGCTGGTGCCGGCCACGATGGCGCGGTCGCACTCGCCGCGCTGGATGCTCTCGCAGGCCAGGTGGAGCGCGACCAGCGAGGACGAGCAGGCCGTGTCGACGGTGAACGAGGGTCCCTTGAGGTCGTAGAAGTAGGACACGCGGTTGGGCACGATGCTCGACGCGCAGCCGGTCTGCACGTAGGGCCGGATCTTGTCCGGGTCGGCCACCTGCACCTTGTGGTAGTCGGAGAAGCACACGCCCGTGAACACGCCCGTGCGCGAGCCGCGCACTTTGTCCAGGCTCATGCCGGCGTCCTCGAGCGCCTCGTACACCACCTCGAGCACCATGCGCTGCTGCGGGTCCATGACCTCGGCCTCGCGCGCGCCGATGTGGAAGAACGACGCGTCGAACTTGTCCACGTCGTCCAGGAAGCCGCCCTGCGTGGTGGGCATCTTGCCCGGCTTGTCCATGTCCGGGTCATAGAAGGCCTCCGCGTTCCACCGGTCGGCCGGGATCTGCGAGATGGCATCGACGCCCGAGTCCAGGTTGGACCAGAACTCGCCCACGTTGCGCGCCTTGGGCACCCGGCACGCCATGCCCACGATCGCGATCGGCGCGCCCGGGTAGTCCTCCAGCGTGGGCACCACCGGCTGCGCGAGCGCGGCCACGTCCACCTCGGGCAGGGCCTCGTCGTCCTCCTCCTCCTTGGCCTGGGCCTCGGCGATGCTGTCACTGCTGGCACTAGTGCCGTTGCTCTGCAGAGCAGACTTGAGCTCGAAGCCGCCCTTGCGGCGCTGGCGGCGCTTCTCGGGCTTGAAGGCGGCGAGCTCCTCGTCGATGAACTTGGTGAGGCGCGGGGAGATCTTGGTGTAGGCGTCGGAGAGGAGCAGGTCGACGATCTGCTCGATCGAGTTGTACTCGTCGCACAGGCTCGTGGGCAGCGCGCAGCCCAGGCGGTCCTCGAGCTCGCGCAGGAGCTGCATCTGCCGGAGCGAGTCCATGCCGTAGGACCGCACGTCGCACGCCGGGTCGATGTTGGCGGCGTCGAGGTCGACGGCCTCGGCCACCTTGTTCACGATGTAGCGCTGGAGGGCCTCCTTGCGCGGCTTGAAGGCCTGCACGAGCTTGTCCACCACGCCCCCCACCAGGTTGCGACCGCCGGCGCCGCTGTTGGTGTTGGAGTCCAGGCGGGCGAGCGAGGCCTGCAGGTAGCTGTAGCGGCAGGCGAAGCGCATGAGCTTGCCCGACGACGTCTTGGGCACCGTATGCTCCTTGACCAGCACCACGTCGTGCAGCTCCAGGCCGTCAAACGCGCGCGCCACCGCCGTCTTGATGCTCAGCACGAGGTCGTCGCGCGCCTTGGCGTCGGCCACGGGCTGACGCAGCTCGGCCACGGCCACCACCTTCTCCTCGTCGTGGCCCTCGAGCTGCACCGAAAACACGGCGCAGCAGCCCGGGCGCACGAGGTCGCTGGCGCTGTGGATGGTCCACTCGATGTCGAGCGGGTACACGTTGCGGCCCCGCACGATGATCAGGTCCTTCAGGCGGCCCGTCACGAACAGCTCGCCCTTCTCGTTCACGAAGCCCAGGTCGCCCGTGCGCATGTAGCACGCCGACGACGCGTCGCCTTCCACGGTGGCCGCGAACACCTCCTGCGTTCTGTACAATCATAACACGCACACGCACACAAGTATGAGAAGAAGAACCCCGCGGCGTTTATATGTGCGGTCGTGGTGGAGGGCGAGTACCTGTCGGGCTGGCCGTAGTAGCCGGGAGAGATGCCGGGGCCGCGCGCCCAGATCTCGCCGACGGAGAGGGGCGGGCAGGCGGTGCGGGAGACAGGATCGACAATGCGGATCTCGCCCTCGGGGAGGCTGGTGCCGCACGCCACGAGCACGTCGCCGGGTCGGACGCGCTCCTCCTTGGCCCCGGCCGACGACGCCGGCGAGGCGAGGAAGGTGGGCGGGACGCCCTGCTGTCCGCCGGTCAGGATGAGGGTGGCCTCGGCCAGGCCGTAGCAGGCGTAGAACTTGTCCATGGTGAACCCGCTGGGTCCGAACTTGTCGCAGAAACGGCGCAGCGTCGACGCCTGGACCTGCTCGGCTCCGTTCAACGCCACCTGCAACAAGCCGTTACAATGAAGCGCAAAATTAGGAAAGTCGTTTCCGGGTGGTGGGTTGGAGGTCGAGTGAGGTGTGGGTACGCGAAGGTGGGAGAGGTCGAGCTGGCGGGCGACGGCGTCGGAGAGCTTGCGGGCGCAGAGTTCGTAGGCAAAGTTGGGCGCGGCGACGTGGGTGACGCGGTGCTGGGCGACGAGGTGGAGGAACATGTCGGGCCGCTTGAGGAAGGTGGAGGGGGCCATGAGCATCATGGGCATGCGCGAGTAGAGCACCGAGAGCACGTTGCCCACGAGGCCCATGTCGTGGTAGAGGGGCAGCCAGCACAGACCGAGCTGCTGCGGGGCCTGCGTGTCGAGCAGGTGACTGATGGCCACCGCGTTGTAGACGGCATTCTCGTGCGTCACCACCACCCCCTTGGGGAACGCCGTGGAGCCCGACGTGTACTGGAAGCAACAACATCACACGCACAGGCGAAAGCCACTTGGTCAGCCCTCTCTTTTGATGTGCCGTGTGTGTGTGTGTGTGTGTGTCGCGTGGTGCGGACCTGAAGGTAGGCGGGAGAGGCGGGGGAGATGTCGGGAGGGGTCCACGAGGAGGCGGTGCGGTCGAGGAGGTCGATGGCGATGGGCAGGAGCTTCTTGAGCGCGTACCCGCCCCGCGCGAGCGGGTTGAGCAGCTTGCGCTGGAGGCCCTTGTGTACGACGGACGTGGTGAGCATGAACCGTGCCTCGCTGTCAATGACCAGCCCGTCGAGCTGCAGCCCACCACCACCACCACCACCACACCACGAGGAGGCACAAATGCATCTGCGATTAGTGGCGCTAATCACAAAAAATCGGGGGGGGGAGGCAACAACCAGCCAATAAGAAAACGAATTGGGCTGAGATTGCATTGATCACAATGACGCCACGTTCTGGGGCTGGGGGAGGGCACCTTGAAGAAGTCCTCGTCCTTGAGGGGCGGGTAGACCGGTACGGCGATGGCGCCGGCGTAGACGCAGCCGAAGAAGCCCACGACAAAATCGAGACCGGGCTCGAAGATGAGAAGAACGCGCTGGCCATGGGCCTTGTTGGCCTGGAGGCCCTGAGCCACCACGCGGGCTTCCCGCTCGAGGTCGGCGTAGGTGAGCTTGCGGGCCACATTTCCGCTGTCATCGATCCATGAGAAGCCCGAAGAAATGGCCGATGCGGTCGTGTTGGCCGCATCGGCAGGCGAGGTAGTGGTAGCCGCGGCGTGTCGTTGGAGGAGGTCCACGAGAGTGCGTGGATTGCCCTGGACAGTCTTGCCACAGATGGTAGGGATGGTAGTGGCCATGTTGGTGTTTACCTCGGTGTGTTATATGATGGCCTCTGCTGTGACGAGAGAGTGATCGAATTCGACGGAGATGATGTGGTCACGACGATTTTGTGTTTTCTTCCGAACGAATGGAATTAATCGGCGGCTGCCGCGATGGGGGATGAACAGAGAGATGTAGGGAGTGGGGAAAAAAAGAGAGTGTGGGCGACCTCGCACACAAATGTGAACAGCCACGGGCCGGGAGCGCGTGAGGCCGAAGGCTGGTGTTTGCGAGCGAGGGAGAAGGCGCGAAGAAGACGCCGCCCCACCGCCAGCTCCGGAAAATGCGGCGAGTCCCCCCCCCCTTCTTTCCGGCGGTTGGTGGGCCTCCGAGGCCCCTAATTTCTCGCTGCGTCCTCGTCGTCGACAATGTCGCCACTGTTTCGCCATTTTTATTCGCTCGTCGATGGCCCACGGACAATTACAACGAATGATCATGATGCCGTGGCATTGGTCCTCGTACACCTCCTTCTTTAGTTTTCTTCTTCCCGTAGACGGTTGTCTTGGTATCGCTTCTTCTCTGCGCTCGCCAAGCCTTTCTCGGCGTGAGGGGGGTCGGGTCGGGCTCATGGCCGCTCGAACGGCGGCTCGGGCTGCTGGCGGAGGTAGGCCAGCGAGTTGACCTTCTGCTGCAGCTGCTCCCCGTACCACTGCAGCGATTCGTGCTTGCCGAAGAAGTCCATGCACAACAGCAGCGCGTTCATTCGCTCCGTCGGCTGGCGGGCCGACAAGATGTGGCCACAAAACGGTGTGAGCGATCTGTCGCTGTTGTGGCATTCGTTTGGGAGAGGGTGTGCGCGTGTACGTTTTTGATGCGGAACGCCTGTCTGAGCATGAACATGCCCTCCTTTTGCGGCCACTCCAGGAAGTGGTAGAGCTGGGCGAGCTCCGACTCGTAGCCACTGCGCGTGAGCGGTGAGCACACCACACACGAAAAGGTGGTGGTTGGGTGGTGGCGGACGACGACGAGGAGGAGGAGGAGGAGGGGGAAACAGCCGTACCACTGGGCCAGGAGGTGACGGTACTGACTGAGCGCGACCGCGTGCTTGGGGTCCGCAAGAATCTCAAACAGGTGCAGCTGGGAGAGCGTGTCCTGGTTGTGGGCATCCGACAGGAAATTGCGAATTGAGTCTACAATCGCGCCGAAGAGAGGGAGGGGGGAGATGATGAAGGTGAGGGGACGCACTCGGAGGTAGAGGATGACAGTCATGATGACGTTGGGGTTGTGCGTCGCGATGGCGGCGCCGAGAATCGCGATCTTGTCCTGAAGCCGTGTGCAGGTGTACATCAGCACCGACGACCCGTTGAGCTCGATCTGTCTGATGATGCTCTCTGGCGTGCTCTTTCCGTCCATCCCATTCCTGCTCCAATCCCACACCACGCCAGACGACCCGTCAGGAACACACACGACGCACTGACACGCACGCACGACACGCGCACGAGCAAAGAGGACGGAGTGCCTGAGTCGATTCTCGACTTCTTGCAGCTGCGCGTTTTCCCGTTCGAGCCGAGAGGCATTGTTCATGGACTCGTTGAGGGCAGCGATGAGCATCTTCTTCTCCTCCATGGCACGCTTGAGCTGCAGCCAAGTCAGAGCCACGCTTGAAGAAGAAGAAGAAGAAGAAGAGCTGAGACTAACCAAACGCACCTTTAGCTCGGTGTCTGATGCTTTGTCGCCGCCGCGCGGAGCGGGGAGGGACGAGAAGTCGAGGCCCTTGACGTCGCCACCGTGGCCCTCGATGGACTTGAGCTTGTCCTTCAGGATCGTGTTCTCCTCCCGGATCATCTCCACGATGGACGGGTCTCTATCGAACGTCGCCGCACGCACGCACGCACGCACGCACGCACGCACGCACACGAAGCCGTCGCAGCCGCCGACACACGTGAGCGAGCCATCAAGCCAGCGACCAGCCCAGCACGACGCGATAGCGCGGGGGAAAGGTTTGGGGGAGGGTGATGCGTACCGCGAGTCTTGGAGCTTGGATACGGTCTGGGTGTAGGTGGAGCGGAGCTCTTCGAACTCGTTCTTCATCGTTTGGACGGTGGCCAGCAGCTTCTCCTCCTCCTTGAACTGCTTGTTGATCTGCTCGATGAACGACGCCCTTTCCATGCGAGAGAGCTGGATGTCATTCTCCAGCTCGGCGACCCGCTTCTTGTACGAATCCTTTTCCTCTGCAGCCCCACCACCCACGCCCACCCCCATGTCAGACGTTGGGCACGAAGGGAGAGGCCCCTCAAAGCCCCGCCGCCGGCACCGGCACCACCGCGTACGTATGATGCGGGAGATGTAGACCATGCCCTCCCCGAACACCCCCTCGTCTCCTTCCCCGGGCAGCCCCAGCTGCAGCTCCACGGGGGCTCCTCCCATCTCCCGTTCGCCCTGCGTGCACGCCGTGGGTGCGCTCGATCAGATTGGGAGCGCAACACACGACCAACGACACGCAGGAGGCGCGCGCGCACACACACACACGCACACGCACACGCACAAAGAGAGAGAGATTGGAGCGCACCAAGTCGGGCTTGGCCCTCTTTTCCTTTTCGTAGCTCGTGGCGGTGGTGCTGGTGCTGCTGCGCGCTCCGTCAAACCCTCCGTCGTCCCCCTGCCCCCCGGAGCCAAAGGAACGGCGCCTCCCGTCAGATCGGGACGAATCCTGAAGCAGCCCCGCCAGCATCACCGCGCCTCCCTTAACAACAGAAGAAGACGACAACGACGAAGGCGAAGCAGAAGATGACTCGATGCGAGCGCAAACCGGTGGTGGGTGGTGGCGGTGGTGGTGGAGGTGATGGGAGTATAGGTTACCCCTTGGGAGAAGGGCTTGCGGGCAGGCGGCTCGGGGTCGGGGAGGGGTGAATCGTCGTTGTAGTCGTTGTAGTCGTTGTAGTGGTGCAGGTCGTTGCCCGCCGGCGCGCGCATGCCTCGGCGCGCGTCCCCGGAACCCCCTCGCCCGGGCGGCGAGAAAGCGCCCTGCCCCATCATCATCGACGAACTGCCAGAGGGCCGACGCCAGGAGAGAAACAGGGCACGAGGAACAGCACGCAACACACGAAACACACGCGCGCGCCCAACACACACACACACACGACACAGATGAGCGCGTTGTGCAGCTATGCCGCCGGGGGGGGGTACGCGTACCGTGGGGAGAGTGGAGGGGAGGTGAAGCCCGGGCCTCCCGCCTGTGAGAAGGAGGACTGGCGCGGGGGCGGCAGCGACTGACGGCTGGCGGGAGGCGTCTCTCGAAATGGAATATTGGCGCCGCCGCCACCACCGTTGTAGGCCGGCGGTCCAGCAGGAGGCCGCCTTGCGCCTATCACCCCCCCCCCGCGCCAAACAAAAACAAATAGGCTCTTCATGAGAAAGTGGTGGTTTGTGGGGGGAGGGCAATAGATGAGGAGGAATGAGGGGATGAACGCAAAAGAATTGGGGGGGGGCTCACCGTTGCCGCTGTCGTAGGAGGGGGGCGGCCTATCTCTGTCGCGGTCACGTGGCGAGACGTCGCGAGGGTCCCTCCCAGTAGTTGTCCCACCCTTGCCGCCAGAGGGCTGCTGGCCGTTGCCCACGGGAGGGTTGAGCCATCCTTTCATCCTCGCTTGCTTACTTGCTTTTCTTTCTGTGCTACGCTGCTTCCTTTGCGCCAAGAACCGCAAATGCTTCGAATTCCTCAGGCCGGGCAGGCTGGGCGTTGGCTTCTGTGGACGACAAGAACCGCTCCGCTTTCGTTTCTTCTCACAGATCCTCATCTTCACTAGTCTCGCAAGGCGCACGCACCATGGCTCGTGCTAGCACTTTTTTCATCTTGCTGGTGGTGGCGGTCTTGGTCGCGACCGTCGCCGCTAAAATCAACTACCGTACCCCCCCCCCATTCGCCAAAGAATCTGCAGATTTTGTCGATTCGAAATTAATTTCGGTCCATTTGGTGGCGACAGGACGTTTTGCCACACATCCCGTAGCTGATGGGGCGGATTACCCCATCGACCGAGAGGGCACCGTGTTTTGGGGCGTCGGCGGCACCAATATCTATTTTGCTGGAGGCGTGAACACGCTCTACCCCACCGCCACTGACTTCACAGCATTTACCGACATTTACACCTACGATACCGGTACGATCCCATCCCCTACCGCGTAGCCTGCGCGGCTAGACGGTTATTTTATTTTTTTTAGTGTTTTATTAATGATTGATCAATTCTGATACAAAAAACAATCCCCATTGCAGCCAACAACAAGTTCATCAAGGCGCAGGTCCCTCTTCCCGGTCCGTCCTACTTTGGTGCGGGAGGGCACGTGCAAGGCTGCCTGGTCATCTTCTCCGGCCGGACCAACACCCAGCCCACGTACGCGTCCCTCCACCCCTCACCCCCCCTCCCATCCCCAATGCGCGCCGCGCTGACTGTGCTGCATCGCTGCACACGCGGCCGCCCCTCCCTCACACTTCTTCTTTCTGGCCGGCTCTCCATCCGTGTACGTTGTGGTGTGTGCGTGCGTGCGTGCGTGCCGTGTGCCGTGTGTCGTGTTGATCTATATCAGGCCGTGGACGTACTTCTCGGACCTCTACGTGGTCAACTTCACCAATTCCATCAGTGCGTAGCCCTCCGCGGGGGGAGGGGGGGGCTTCCCTGCCTCGTGTGTGTCTGGCGCGACTGACCCGCTGCTCGTGTGGTGCTGTGGTCCGCTGTGTTCTCCCTTTTCTTTCTTCTTTTTTTTCTTCTTTTTCGTCTTCGGCAGCGTCGCCCACCGTGAAGCTGGTCACCTTGAAGACGCCGGTGACGCCGCGGGCGTTCCACTCGGCCGCGGTGTTCCGCAACCAGCTCTACGTCTTCGGTGGCGTCACGGGTCCCGATGGCTCCACCTCGATTGAGCGCAACGAGCTCTTCCTGGCCATCGACATCCGTGCGCCCTCACTACTTCCCCCGCTCTCCTCCTCCTATTCGTCACCACTACGCGCTGACTCTTCATCGATCGCGTCGTTACCAGGAAACGGCTCGGTGACGAAGCTGCCCTGCGACGATAGCGACTGTCCGGCTTCGGCGCCCGTGAGCCCGGCCATGTACCTGGACGCCTCCGAGGAGCTCATCTACGTCTACTCCGGCATGGAAACCGATTTCCAGACCTGGGGCGACAACAGTCACATCCACATCTACGACATGATCGGTACCCCCCCCCACAACTCTTTCTCATCGCGCGCTGGCGCTCACCTTCGTTCTTCTTCGTTCTTCTCGGGCCGTGTGCGGCGCGACAGACAAGGAATGGAAGGACCCCGTGACGGTGCAGTACCGCAACAACTTTGTGTTCAACGGTCTGTCCAACACCCTCCAGGCCGACAACGAGCTCCTCATCATCGGCGGTGACCACGGTGCGACGGGCTCGCACGCCGAGTCCCACATGCTCGACCTCAGTACGCCCTTCGCTTCTTCTACGGCTACTCTTCGTGTGCTCTCGTGCTCTCGTGCATATATTTATTCGTTGTGTGTTGTGTTGTGTTGTGTTTGTTGTGTGTGGTGTGACGCACTGTAGTGCAAAACCCGCCCCTGGTGGTGGCCATCGAGCACGGTAGCCTGCCCCAAAAGTGCGAGAGCCAAACGTTCGTGGGCGTCGACGCCAAGGGCAACATCTGGGCCTACGGAGGCGCCACCTACGCCAACAGCTCGGCCCCCACCGCCATCAGCTACTGCCACGGCGTCGTCACCATGCAGTTCTACCAGGTTCGTTGTGGCACAACACTTCTTTGTTTTTGGTTGTTTGGTTGATTGTTTGGTTGTGATGTTTTTGCGGTGCAGGACCCCAACAAGGTCGGAGCGGGCACCAAGTGGTTCGTGGGCATCGCGATGCTCCTCGTCACGGCGGCTATTGCGGGCGTGACGGTGTACCTCTACAAGAAGAGCAGCGCTCGGCGCGACTACGTCGAGATCCCCTAAGCGGGCTTCTCGCGCCTGGCGGTGGTCGACACAAAATACTTTTCTTTTCTTTTTCTCTTGTCAATGGCGTTGTCTTTTGTTTTTCCAATCCAAATCGAAATCAAAATCATCATTCATCACAAAGCAACGAATTCCATTCACCAGGAGGCGGATACACGCAATTTTTTGTCAACATGCCGCGGGTACGCTTGAAGAAATCCTCTGTAGTTGGGTGTCATCGATTGAGGTGAAGAGATGGTGGTGGGGACTTACTTGGGCCGGCTGGGGCCAGATGCCCGCCAATAATCGCATGCACACGGGGGCCGCCCTGCAAACGCACGGCATCTGGGCCGACACCATCGGCTACGATCCCTACGCCCCGACCGCGACGGGCACCGGGGAGGCGCCCGTGCCCGAGAGCCTGCCCGTGGCCCCGAGCCCCTACGAGAAGGCGCAGGGCCTCCTCGCCCTCGCCCGTCTCACCGGCAGCGGCACCTCCAACAGCCGCGGCACCTGCTACAAGTGCAACGGAGGTACACCCCCCCTCCCCCCGATGCGTGTCGTGCGTGTGCGTCTCTGCGTGTCGTGTTGTGTCGTGCGAACAGGTGTGGGCCACACACTCAGTTCTCGCTACATGTGTTGTGGTGGTGTAGTGGGGCATCTCACGTTCCAGTGCCGCAACTCGGTCAAGCTGAACCCCAACAACGTTGACGTCTCCTCCACCGAGAGCGATACCTCCGACTCTGACTCTGGTTCGTCCGACTCGTCCGACTCGGGTACGCCACCGGACCTTCTTCGTGTGTTGTGTGTCGTGTGTTATGTGTCGTATGTGTGTCATAGGTGTGGCTCACACGTGCCTGATCTCGCCTTCCAGAAGCGGAGCGTAAGCCTGCGCCGCGAGCAGCCGTGCCGGCAGTGGTCGAAAAGGAGAGGGAGGCGGAGAAGAAGAAGGAGAGCCACCGGCGTCGGCATCGCTCCCGGTCGCGGAGTCCCCGGAAGAAGAGGAGGACGAGCAGCAGAAGCAGCAGAAGCAAGCGAGAGGCGGGAAGCGGCGACGAAAAGGACGAAAAGAGGGAGAGGCGTGATCGAGAGCGGAGGAAACGTTCGCGCTCGCGCTCGTCGTCGGGTTCGCGTTCGCCGTCGAGCCGCAAGACAAGGAAGCACAGCAAGAGGGACGCCGAACGCAAGAAGCGTAGGAAGGAGAAGCGGGACAAAAAGGAGAAGAAGGAGAGGAGGAAGGAGAAGAAGGGAAGCGACCGCAAGAAGCGCAGCCACAAGCACTCCTCCTCCTCCTCCTCCGACTGAACATCCGAACCACCACCACCACCAACAACAACACGCAACATCATCGAACGTATGCTGACCTTGTGCAGAAGGTTGGGAATGGAATTCTTTTTGTGTACTCTTCTTCTTCTTCTTGTTTTTGTTCTACTTCTTGGGGGGGGGAGGTAGTCAGGGCGAAGGGGAGTCGGTGGTGGCCGCGTGGGCGGCAGGGACGCGCTCGTAGAAGAGGACGTAGGCCTCCGAGCCGAGGACTTCGTTGAGGGAGACCTCGCGGCCGCTGGAGTCGCTGTAGTGGTACCAGCGGCGCTGCGTGTGGGCGTACACGCGCGCGATGTAGTGCCCGCCCCCGATGCCGCCCTGGTGCACCGACAGCCCGTACAGCCGATACACGTACTGCTGCTCCTCCTGCTGCTGGGGCACCACGAAAGGCGCCATCGACAAGACGAGCGGGAACTTGGCGTGCTCCCCCGCCTTTGACAGCCCGCCATGCCTGCACACGCACGGCACGGCACGCCAGACACCGCACACGCGCGAAAGCGCCAGAGACAGAGAGGTCAGGGGGGGGGTTGTTTCCTCCCTTTCTCTCTCTCTCTCTCGGATGATTGATTGATTGATTGGGGGCGGGATGGGGAGCACGCACGCAGTTTGGCGGAAGCGCTTCACGTGGATGGTGAGGATGGGGGGCAGCTGATGGATCAGCAGCTGCTTGGTGGCCCGCGAGACCACCATCTCCTCCTTGCCCTTGCCCTTGCCCTTGCCCTTGCCCCCTTCATCGCTCCCGTCTTCGTCGTGGCTTTCTTCTTCACCGCTGTCGTCGTCGTGGTGGTGGTGGTCGTCAGCGCCATTGCTCTGCTGGGCGGCCTGGCGGCGGCGGCGGGTGCACTCGGGGCAGCGGTAGCCGTCGGCGCCCTCGAGGACTTCCGGCTGCGTGAAGTCGTAGAGGCATCGGTAGAGGGTCACCTCGCGCAGCATCTCCGGCGTCACCCACCGCTCCACCGCAGCCGCGTCCCGCCCGTCCCACTCCCGCTCCTTCCCCTCCGGCGCCACCTCTCCCGCTGCCCCGCTCTCGGCACCAGCACCACCAGCACCACCACCAGCAGCAGCTGCGGCAGCGATAGGCTGTGCACTTTGCCCCTCACCAGCACCGCCGCCGCCGTCCATGTCTGCCGTGGGCGGCACAGGCTCATCGGTCGGCCCGAGGGATGGCTCGTGCTCGCTCGTGGGCTGGTCCAGCTCTCGTCGCCCCTCCGCCTCCTCCTCCGTATCTGCTCCCGCCGCGGCCTCATCGGTAGTGGCGGTGGCGGTGGCGCCCGCTGCGCCGCTGCCGACGTCTTCGCGCTCCTCCGTTTTGTTCTGCTCGTGCTGCTCCGCGTGCCCATTGCTCGACGGAGGGCATGCCGCGTCCGGGGCCGGCTGCCCGGAGGTCGCCCCCGATGATGCGGACGAACCCGCCGCCGCCGCCGGCACCTCCTCCTCCTCCTCCTCCTCCTGCGCAACGGAGTGGAGGTCGCCGGTGGGCGGCGACGATGGACCCTCCTCCACCGCGGGCTGCGGCGGCGCATCCAACGAGGGCGGCTGCACGGAGGCCGAGTCCGTGGGGAGAGCGGCGGACGCGTTGTCCGTCGGTGGTCCGTCGACGGCATCGGCCGTGGCGGCGGCGGTGGCATCGCGCAGGGCCTTGGACTGGCGGAGCTTCTCCTCGCGCCGCTTCTTGGCCCGCTCGAACTTGGCCTTTTGCTTCAGTTGCTTCGAAGTCGTCGAATAGGCACCACGCACCCAGTTGTGAATATTCGGGGGGAGGGGGGGAGGTTACTACGCGGTGCTGGACAAGATGGAGCCCGAGGAGGAAAGCCCTACCTTGGAGGAGAGGGGCTTGGGCTCGTGCTTCTTCTTCTGATAGGCCACCCCACCGGACATGGCCAGCACCTGCACACACGAACACGAACACACACGAACACAAACGCGCGAACGCACGTACGCATATCCCGTGCAGCGGAAAGGTGAGTGCGGACCGCACGCACTTGTGTGGTGTCGCGCCGTGTAGTGCGTGTCGTGTCGTCACCTTGGCGCCAGCGGCGGCGAGGTGGTTGCGTAGGCCTCCTCCTCCGCCGCCGCCCTTTTGGCGGCGCTTATCCGGGTAGCACTCGGCGGGCAGCGGCACCGACAGATCCAGGAACGGCTCCCTCGTTTTGCTCACCTACCACGCGGTCGATCAGTTTCGCCTTAGGGGGGGGTGGATTGGGGGGGGGTAGTAGGTTGGTTGGTAGTGTAGTGTAGTGGTAGTAGGTACGGAGTGGCAGGCGTGGCAGGTGACGGTGCTCTCTAGAACGCCCCCGAACAGAACGTCGATGAAGGTCGGCGGCGGCGGGCCGGGCTTCGCGGTGGTGGTGGGGCCGGCGGCGGCCTGCGGCGACTCGCGGGGCCTCGTCGCTGCCGCCTTCTGCTGCCTGGCCTGCTGCTGCTGCGGCTCGGCCTTGCCGGCCCGCGGGGGCGGGGCGAGGCGGGCGATCTCCTCGGTGCGCACCCCGTCCAGGAGGTACCGCAGCAGCTCCTGCGCGTCCTGCTGCCGATAGCTACGGAACTGCACCGCCCTGCACGTGACGTGTGACGTGTAGCGTGTGTCGTGTGACCGTCAGCTGATGTGGTGCAGCGTTGCGCGTATGTTGGGGGAGAGGGGGGGGGCACTTGGAGGCGATGGCGGAGAAGAGGGTCTGCGGGTTGACGCAGGCGCCCTTGGGAGCCCACATGGCCGCCATGAACCCCCGCAGCGCTTGCGTGATGGGTCCTGCATTGACCCCACATATAAATATAAATATATACATCACCACCATACGTGCACCCCCGAGCCGGTTACACGGATGTATGCAGAGGGACAGCGACAAAGAAACGACACTGCGTCGGCAGCGGCGTGGCCGGCAAACGTGGCGAGAGCGCGTTGGGGTGTGAGGTCAACGCACCTTCACTGGGCGGGGCGTGGAGGGCGATGGCTTCCACGACCGACAGCTCCGCGGCCTCTTCCTCATCGTCGTCGCTGCCGCCGCGGCGGCGATCCGTGCGGGCGGAGGGGAATCGACCGGTGCTCAAGTACTCCCGCAGCGCCGGCGTGTGGGTCAGGCACTGGCACCGGAGAGAAGTGAACAACGACGGTGGTGGTGGTGGTCGTGGCGGTGGTGGTCGTGGCGGTGGTGGCGGTGGTGGTCGTGGCGGTGGTGGCGGTGGTGGTCGTGGCGGTGGTGGCGGCGGCGGCGGCGGTGGTGGTGGTGGTGGTGGGTGGTGATCACGATGGGGGTGCACCTGCATGATGGAGTTGAAGAAGCAGGTGTTGCCGAGGTTCTTGAGGCCCTTGAGGCCCGTGCCCGCCGAGTCGATGGCCGGGTTGGTCTCCTCGACCAGGCCCCGGTTCCGCTTCTTGTCCTTCACCAGCCAGCTCTCTGTAAGCCCCCCGCCCCCACCGTCAGCACACCACACACACACGCAACACATACACATACACACACACACCACACACACACGTCAGAGGAGAAGAGGCACGGCATGACGCGCACCCGTCTCGGCAGCGCTGATGGCGGCGCCCGAGTGCTTGGATTTGTGTTGGCCCTCGGCCTCGTCGTCGTCGTCGTTGTAGCCGTCGGCATCGTCATCGCTGCTGCTGTTGCTTTCGTGGGTCTCTCCGAGGAGGGCACGCCTGGCGGCCCGCACGCACTCCTTCACAGCCTTGGACGCGGTCATCGGCACCTGGCGTACCCCGCCCCGCGCCCGGTTCGTGGCGATGGGTGGTGAGCAGGAACGGCAGATACGCACAAGGCGCGGATTGTACGTGTGCGGTGGTGCGTGTGTGCGTGTGCGGCGCACCTCCTGGTCGCATTCGTAGCACCAGGCGTTGAGGTGGGTGAGGCTGAGGGCGAGCGGGTGGTGGGTCATCTCAAAGTGGCCGAGGGCGTGGGCCTCGTCGTACCGCCCGCAGCTCACCAGCCCGCACCGCAGACACAGCCACACCTGCAACACGACACGACACGACACACGGCCATCCCCGGGGCGTATGGTGAGTGCACGTGCGGCAGGCAGCAGGGCGTGCAGCCGGCGGTACCTCGGGCTTGCCGGCGCTTCGCGTGGCGGCCTTCTTGTGTCCTGCGCCCTTCTTGTTGCCCACCCGCGTGCCCTTGGCGCACACCTGCGCGCGAGTACCCCCCCCCCGACTTCAATAATAGCCATTTAAAATGCTATTTATTTATTTATTCGTGGGGGGGGTACCTGGCAGGCAGGCGCGGCAGAGGAGCCAGCCAGGATCCGCTCCACGTGGGCCGCCGAGGCCTGGGAGGCGTGGGGGCACGACCCCTCGTCGTCGTCGGCGGGGCCGCGACGCTGGCCGCCTCCCCGCTGCTGCTGCTGGGCGCGCTGGAGCTGCTGCTGGAGCTGCTTCTGTGCTTTCTTCTTGGGGGGCATCGGAGAGGCGGTGCCGTACGTCGTACGCTGGGAAGGGTGCGTGGGTGCAGCTCTCGTTTGCGGCCTTGTTGTTTAGTTGTGTTTGCTCGCGGCCTTGTTGTTTAGTTGTGTTTCCCGGCCTTTTCTCACCATTTTCACTGAGGCTGGGGCTGCGAACGGGCCGCACACGAGAGAGAGAGAGCAAAGATGGAGCGGGGGGAGGTGCCATTTGCGGGCGCCGTAAAAAGAGGCCAGAATAGTACGGCCAGCAACCAGCTGGCTGCTGCACCCGCAGCAGCAGCACCTCCAGCAAGATTTGCTCCGATGGCGCCTCTGGCGACGTCATCCTCGTTGGCTGGCCACGCCCCCCTCACGAGGCCTGCGAGCGGCGGCGTCGGCGTGGGCAACGACCTGCTCGTGGTGGCGGCGGGGTCCCGACGGCGAGCGTGGGGCTGGTGGCAGTGGGTGCGCGTGCTGGGCGGGGCGGGCGGCGTGGCCGTCGTGCTGGCCTTGGCCTACTACGCCTACCGCCGGTTCATGAGGTGGCCACCACCACCATCATCATCCGCTACGCGCACCTCGGCCGCTGCTCGGCCAGCGACTACGCGGGCTGGCGTTGCCCACTCGACGCTAGCGCCCAAGGCCACCATGGCGGCGATGACGGCGGCTGGCAGTGACGTCGAGGTGGCGGCAGCTGCTGTCGGCCTGATGAGCAGCGTGAAGGGCCGCCGAGTGTCGTGCGCTACGAGAGGAGTGGTGCTCGAGTTTGATAACGATGCTGACGCCGATGCTGCTGCTGGTCACCACCGGCCGCGGCTGATCGAGTCGGCGGTGCCGGTGCTGCTGCTGCTGGCGCGGTACACGGACCTCTACCTCATCACCGAGTGCGACGACGACAGCACTGAGGAGGCCGTCCGCTCCCTCCTCGCTGCGCGGGGCCTCCTCGCCGCTGGCCTCAATCCGCACGTACGCGCCACACCGACCCCCACCCCGCGCTCGCCACTCTCTCACCAGAGCTGTTCGTTTCATGGTGGTCGTGGTCGTGGTCGTGGTCGTGGTCGTGGTCGTGGTCGTGGTCGTGGTCGTGGTCGTGGTCGTGGTGGCGGTTGTGGCGGTGGCGGTTGTGGCGGTGGTGGTTGTGGTTGCGTTGTGGTGGTCGTGGTTGTGGTGGTCGTGGTTGGTGGTTGCGTAGAAGGCGCTCTTCTGCAGCACGCCGCTGGGACGGGTCCACATGGCCAGGCAGCTCGAGTCCCACATGCACATCGACGGTACCACCACCCTACCTTCTTCTCTCTGTGTGCTTCTTTCTATTGGAGATCCCCTCGTGGTCGTCGTCGTGGGTGGTGGACGTCGTTGTCTGCTGCGGGGGCGCCTTCTCACCGCGCAATCCGCACGCGCGTACGGTGGTGGTGGTGGTCGGTGGTGGTGGCTTGCAGGGAACGCGGCCGTGGCGGAGGGGCTTCACCGCCACGTGGCCCGGCTGGGCGTGGTGGTGGCCGGGGCGCCACCAGAGCGGCAAGGCGGCGCAGAGGGCGTGCTGTGGGCGGCTACGCTGAGCGAAATGTTTGGGAGCCGCGAGTGAGGGCGCCCAGGTGGTAGTTTGTACAGTTGTTGTTTTATTCTTCTTCTTCATCATCATCATCATCATCCAGGGAGGGACTTGACCAT